TTTTCTTTTGGGTGAAACTCCACCGATTTTAGTGCAGATGATGCAACCTGCGGTAAACCAGTGTGGAGGCCTCACTTGTGTTTGATAAGTCATGATTCGTGGAGTGACTCTGACTTTTTCTTTGATTAGTCATAGAAGTGAATATATTTTGTGAATAACATTTTCACTCAATATATTGTAGTAAATCTAGAATTAAAAAAATTTAAAAACTAATTAAAATGTATTGATGGGTGTAATTTCTCCTTTGTTTAAAATATGACTAGTTAAGAAGAATTTTTTTAATAGAGAGGCTACACTAAGAGCGGCCTTTGACAAACCCTGATCTAAATTTCAGCCTCAGCCTCTGTCACAGGAGCCTGTCAAAGGCCGCGGTTTGAGCAAAATAATTCTTTTTTTATATATAACTTTCCATAAACCCACACACATACATCTCCTTATTTATGTGGGGTTGAGAATCAAGGACCTAACAATCTTTGACCGTTCAATGTCAATAATATTTACTTTTATTATTTGGTTAAATTCTTGAAGATGATTATCTTTTATTCGACATAAATATTTCTTAAAATTGGCAGGAAGAGAGACTTAGAAGGTTGAGACACCGGACAAAAGTATACTTTGATGCATCAAGACCAGACCATCAGGCGTGCCTTACAATCTCAAATCAGTGTTATTTTCTCCCGTCATTTGATAAATCTGTAACATACATGTCGCTTTATAGTCATTACCCGTATTTTGTTTGAAAGTGATGGATTCAACTTGAATCCACAAGAGAAGGGACGGCAGAGCCTTTCATCTTTTATAACTTGTAACTGAGTCTGAAAATTCACAGAATATTGAGACTTTATTGTCATCGAATCAAACTTGTAAGGCTGACAACGTTCAGTTCGGCCAAACTCATTACCGAACCATCAATTTTTTGACCATATCATAATCGCACCATAACCACGTAAGGAGTTACATGCTGAGGTGCAAAGACGGAGCAGGTTTCATGCTTGTTTCAGGTATACAACAGCAAGAAAGAGGATAGTTGGAATTAACCTCATTAGAAGATATGGGTTCTTGTTGGAGGCCAGTTCCAATGGATGAATTTAGAGTTATATATTTTATATAAATCTATATGGATAAATTTACGTAAGATTAAAAATATAATATAATCATCTTTCTAAAAGTGAATGTACATATAAAAACTATGGATATAAATTGCGCCACCCGATGGCAATAGCTCACTAATAATTAGAGCCTGTTTGGGCCCGATTTTTTCACTTAAAAAATTGATTTTTTGACCGTTATTTCACTATTACAGCCGTCATATTTGACTTCTTCTCTCACAGATGAACCTCACTTTTCTTCTAACGGTCAAAAAATCAATTCTCAAAATCACTCCCAAACAGGCTCTTAATAAAGAGACCTTCGAGCTTGAAACTGCAAAAGCATGTGTGAAGTGAATAAAAATGCACATATGGTGACGAATGAGAAAAAGATTGGGAAAAATGTCCAACATTAAAACCTCAAGTCGCAAACAGGATGCTGAGAGAGGACTGTTCCCTTAATAAGTAGATACAAAAATTAACAAACTGAATAATTTACATGAATAATTTTTTTTTGCCAATCTGTCTAATTCATTGCTTAAAATTTTTAGCAACGACAACAATCAACACTCAGTACATATAACATATCATTTCTAACAAATATTTCGTTGAATTGACCTTTAAACCTAATTGGAACACTTCTATCATAAATAATTCCTGTAGCATTTCTCCGCTTCATCCGACCGGATCAAATCTTCGTATTTCATCCTCTTTCATTTGCACCTTTCTAGTTAATAATCACATCTAAATACCTAAAAACTCTCACTTAGAAAAAGTGATCATCTGGAGTGACCCCATTAATATCCTGTTTCTACTATTACTAAAATGACACTGCAGACACCGTGTCTTAGTTCTCAAACCTTCAGATTCCAGAATCCTAAATTGTAACTCATAGTTTTAACCACCTTCCATTCTCATCAACTAACACTATGTTATCAATAAATAACATGTATCAGAGAACCTCATCTTAGATGTGTGTCATATGCCCGTCCATGGAATGCCAAAAAAAAAAAAAAAAAAAAAAAAAAAATTGCTTAAGACAAACACTGCGCAATACAATAATTATAGAAAACGCCCCCCGGTACATAGCCCAGTGGTGCAAAGGATAGGCGTGAGGTTATCTCACGCCTTGCTGGCAGCCGCAGTGTGGGGGTTCGATTCCTGAAACATGAAATTGAATTCCTTGTAAGTACAGTGTACATGCAGCTCTTCTTTTTTGACCTATTGGGACACATCCCGAGATTTAACTCCCTCACAAAGCTCTAGGGACGAGACGGTGGGGACCTTCAATATTTGAGTTCAACTTTTTTTAATAATCATAGAAAACCCTCTCAGATACACAATGAGAGAGAAAGTAAGGGGGGGGGGAGAGAGAGAGAAGTAGGACAAAACATACAGAACGTGAAAGATATAGTACAATAGAGAGAGAAATAAGCAGAAGAAGAAAAAGAAGAGAGAAAAAGGGATAAAATTCAGTCTAAACGTAATTCTCAGCAATCAAATCTGTCTGCAAACTGAATCCCTGATATTCTTTTATTCTTGTAATTGGTAAAAAATTCAATTAGAGGGAACTTCTAAAAAATTTAGCCTCTATTTGGTTCAGATTTTTTATAACTCCTTCTCCGCGAACTCAGTTTCAACCCCACATTCTCCCTAGTCCCTACAGAATAATCTTGCCCGTGGACCCATAATTTTTCCTACCTTCTTAAGCATACATTCTCCAAAAAAATTACTTTTCTCAAAATCTACTCTTAAAAAATCTACATCAAACGGGCTCTTAGTCATATGGTCCTCATCAAAACAAATCTAATCTAACACAAAAAAATATGTTAAGTACTTGCTTTCCCTAAAATATGCTTATTATTTTTCATCGCTCCACTACTACCGCTATTACATCTTGGATCTGGAACTCACTCCAGTAACTCCATATATAGCATTCATTAATCTAATAGAAAATCACTTACTCTAAAACCATCATACCTCCCATTTTTAACGACCCTAAACCACATGCACTAAAAATGAACTAGCATTCAAAGGGACTTGGTCTCAACAAAATTGTCAAAATAGTAACTCAAACGTGCATTGTTAGGTAATAAAAACAAGGTGCGAGAAGATTCACTATTGGTATTAGGGTTGAAAATTTAAACTAATATGCAAAATATCTGAGCTGCACACTGGCACAGAAAAACACTTCAGGATGCAACACAAGTGTCGTAAAATCCACATTGAAAATGCAATGGCCATAAGATGCACGATTGTAACTGTCCGATATTAAAGGTACATGTGGAACAGAAACATGTATAAGATTTCACTCAACAATTATGATAACTCATTGCAATTCCAAAATGTAGCAGACGTACATATAAATCCATACGCTGCTACACATTGACACAAACATATTACTCTACTCTGTCACTATAGTTGGCCATGTATTTCATGATGAGATCACCCTCTAAAACTTTTGCCAAACTAAATATTATTTTAGTAACAAAATCAGTACACCAGGGTCCAGGCCAATCAACACTCTAAATATCTAAAGTTTATATGTTAATACAATACAACACAAACTCACAAATCAAAACATGGACTTGAATGTATAAAAATAGTCAGTGCTGCTGATAAATTTCACAATAAAGAACAAGAGCAAATATATAAGCATCATGGCAACACAATGAATAATGTTAAGCCATTGTAAGAGGACTATAAACATCAGCCAGCAGTCTTCAATCACTAGATTTAAAGAAAAGAAGACACTGGTTTTAGATTCTAACTTCACCATCATTATCCCATGAAATAAAAACAATATTATGAAGTTTTGAGAAGCATAAGAATTATATAGCTAGAATAATCACCAGAAGTACAAAAACAGCATAACTAGCCAGCTCCATTTCCACCCTCATCTGAAGTAAAGGATAGACGGAAGACGAGCAATCCGAACAACTGCATCATTATGCTTTCTCCTCCCTCTCTCGGTTCCACTGTTCAATCCTAGCTCTACGCTCCTCACTTCCTTCTCTCACTGGACTCCTGCTCCTCCTTGGAAGAGGACTAGCCCCATGCCTCCTCCTCTCTCCCTCGTACCTACCATGTCTGTCGCTACCACTCCTCCTCCCACCACCACCTCGATTATCCCCTCTACGATGATCACGCGGATCGTACTCCCTTTCTCTCTCCCTCTCCTTATCTCGCCTGTGGTACTGTGGAGGACTCACACTCCTGCTGCGGCTCCTACTTCCTCTGAACCTGCGGCGATGACTCCCAAACAGCTTCCTCCTAAGCTCCCTCCCTATCATTTTCACATGCATAAAATTACAATAGCCCCCACGGTTACAGTTATCCTCCTCAAATTGCCTGCACGTAGCCTCACGAAAATCAGTCACGGGAGAGAAATCTGCAATTATTGGTCGACCCGAATAGAACCGCCCCTGTAACGCCTGTAGAGCTGCAGCAGCTTGATCCTCCTCCTTGTACTGAACATAAACATTCCCAATCATATGATCAGCAAGATTGTCACAAACATTGAGTGTCTCAAGCTCGCCAAACTTGCTGAGCTCCTCAAATATATCCTCATAAAAGTCCTCGAAATGCTCCTGGATCTTCTTGGGGTCAATAGGCTGACCCTGGGGATCGACGCCGGGAGTTATCATGTCCGGTCGGTGGTACATATTGGCTAGAACGAGTGTCGGAGAGATTGTGGGGCGATTGTGGAGGCGGGAGCATCGATCGCCATGGCGGCAGGCGCCGATCTTGAAGTAAAACGGGCAGTTAACCCGATCCTTCTCTGTTCCAAAAATGGAGGCCAAGTGCTCCGCCATTATTGCTTATTGATTGATATGGAGCACTGATTATTGCTCAGCTAGGGTTTCATGGGTTGTTGAACGAATGGCGACGAGGGCAGAAAACGGTGCGGCCGTACTGAAATTAGGAAAGAAGATTCTAGAGTAATGTGCTCTTAACTTTTCGGTAAATTACGCCAGAGGTCCCCACGTCTTCATCATACCATTTGTTGCAACCATTTCTCCAATCTTTTAAATTGTGGCAAACATATCACCAACTCACATAAAAATTTAAAATGTCATCTTCTTTCTCATCCTAAGTATGTAACTGATATGTTTTGAGAGGGCTGATTTTATTGATAATAAGATTGTTGATACACCTCTTGAACTTAATGCTCAGTTATCTCCTACTGATGGTGTCGGGATCTAGTTTATATTATACTGTTGTTGGTAGCTTGATTTCTCTCATCATCACTTGTCTAGATATTACATATGTTGTTTATATAGTTAGTCAGTTTGTTTTCTCGCATAGTACGGTTCATTGAGTTGTTGTTCTTTAAATTTTGATATATCTTCAGAGTACTCAATGTCAAAGTCTTTTACTTTTGTCTACTTCATTATTATAGTTGAGAGCATATTTTTATGCTAATTGAGCTACTAAGCCTGTAGATTGCAAGTCTACCACTAACTTCTGTATCTTTCTTGGAGATTGTCTCATTTCTTGGAAGAGCTATAAGCAAGGTATTATTTCTTCCACAATGACATAGTATTTTGTCATGTATTATACTACTTCTGAGATAGATTGATTGCATCGATTGCTAGCAGATATGGATTTATTTCTTTACCAATCTACTCATTGTATTGAGACAATAAAAGTGAAATTCAGATTGCACACGATTCAGTATTCCATAAACGAACCAAACATATTGCGATCAATTGTTATGTTACTCCGCATCATAAGTTTGGCACTCTCACGTTACCTTTTTTTTCATTCCTCCATGTAAATTGCTGATTTTTCTTATAAATTCATACTCCACTTTTTGGTTCCTTTCTTATTTAGCAAACTCTTGATGCATCCTGTAGTGGTATTATGAGTTTTAAGGGAGTGTTAAAATATATTATTATTTATAGTTATCAGCTATTAGTTATTTACTTATTTATCATTATTTTAAGGGTAGATTAGTCCTTTATAATATTTGCTAGCAAGTGTAAATAAAGCTTATATTTTAGGATGCGTTTTAGTTTTTAATTTAGAAAATATTATATTTGTCCATTTTTTATTTGTGGATAAATGAGAGACGAAAAGGAAAATGAATTGTCTGGAAAACAAAAACCACTCCTTCATAAAGTAAATGTTCTCCTTACTTTTGATCACATGACCAAAAGTTAAAAAATATTCTTCATGAAAAATATTGTCAATCAAACACCTCAAAGTAAGAATTTTGATGGAAAAATAATATTTTTCATGAAAAATAAAGTCAATCAAACATACACTTATATCTTTTTATTAAGCAATTGATTAAGAAACCCTATCTTTGCTTTTTCTTCTCTATTAATTTTTTAGACTTCACTATCGTTCTCAATTTACTCCTTTGTAGTTATCTCATTCACCATGTTTTTAATTATCACTGATCCTTAAGTTTTATACGATTCGAAAATGGCTGATTGGGACAAGTGATTTTCGGTCAATATCACCAAGATCTCAGGCACTCTGTTGATGAAATCTAACAAAAGCATGATCGTATAGCATCATGTAATTTTTGAATTGAAGTTTGACATGAGACAGCAATATAGTTAACCGTAATAACAAAGTTGGTCGTACACGACCCTGTACTAGGAAATGCCAATATAGGGCCCATGTGGCCCTGTATACCCAGCACAACCCTAATCATAAACTATACAACAGTGTCGATGCATTTTATGGGCTGTGGGGTAGTGCTTCACTGTAAATAAATCACATTTTAGTTTTGTTTTGGTGGCACGAAGGCGACGATAATGGTCATGGAGACTAGGTTGTGTTGGTCATGTAAGGTTGATTTCCACCTCCTGGAGGTACAAAATCGGGCTCAGTTTACCAAAATATCGACACCACCAAGGTTGAGACAACTCCAAAACCACCACTGCCGCCGCCCCACTCCGGTTGCTATAGGTTGGAGAAGGAGAAGTCTAATAATGTGCCCACAAAGATTAACCACAAAGGTCACAGTGAAACAAAGCAAGGAGCCGAGAGAAAGTCTCACAAAGAGAAGTGAAATTGGCACACAATGGAGGCCGAGAGGAAGAAGGGATTATATGCCAAGTAAATGTCCAAAATAGGTAAGTTAGGTTAGGGTTAAGTGGTGGACCAAAACAAGGCTCGACTCAATTAAGTGGGCTTCAAAAATTAATTATATAGCCTTCCAAGGAATGGGGCGAACCGTGAGCAACACTATTTAAAATAGGTTGCTTCGAACGGTCCATAAAAATGTGGATTGTGTTGTCTCGATAATTGTGTCGATATACTAATCAATCATATGGCCAAGGTCGATTGATAATAAAAAACCGAGGTTACATCATCGCCCGGGGAGGTCGTTTGACAACAAATTGCCTAACAAGTCGTAATGATGGTGCAGATTTGACGTTTTGTAAAGATGATATTGAAGGTCTGGTAGGTGTTTATTGACGATGATGACAACTACATGTATTATTGTAAATTGTTACGATTGTCATTGGTTCAGCAGAATTTTTGGCCCAGAATTAACATGTATGCTATCTCGTATTACTGGTGTCTTAAAAAAAATTGCTACTCATAATTAACACATCTTCTTGGAGTTTTTTTAAATTTGAACTTGAAATTCTTGGAGTGATTTTGGATAACATCCTTAACAAATATCAGGTATTAAATATCCAATAAGTTTCCAATTTCTACTTCATCAAATGCAATTTAACATCTATGGTTATTTTACAGAATTCAATTAGAAAGTTGGGTATATACCTAAATAAGCCCCATTCAAACCCCCTTGCCCAATCCCTTCACTCCATCTGGCCACTAAGAAACCAGGATTTTGATCCGGTTCATTCACGACCAAATCCGAGACTCAGCCAAGTTCATTTGAAAATTAAGATTGAAGACTAAAACATATGCTGTCTAGTGAGAAGATTTGACCATTAATTATTGGAAATAAATTCATTATGGTTTGATCAAATATTTGAGTAGGTTCCCTTATTCAATCCTCTTGGGACTATAGTTGAACACGTTCTACTTCGTGAGTATATGTTGGCAGTCTATTTGATTTTGTAAAATTATTTTCAAGTAAATGAGAAATTAGTAGGGCAGCCCTGAGAATCCTGAGGCCCTAAGTTACTAATTATTACGAGGCCCTAGACCCAAGCCACAATTTTGGAGCTGATGCTAGGACAAATGTGGGGAAGAAGGAAGAAGAAGTGAAGAATATAGAGGTGATGGATGCTGGGAAATGCAAGGATGACGAGGTAGATGAGCAAGGGCAGTGGTTTTTGGATGGGAAGAACAATGTGGGAGATCATTACATGAAACGTTGTAGCATCGTGGGGGATAGGAGGTGTAGTCTTTGATGATGACAAGGAAAAGGAAAGAAGGCAGCAGAGGATGGATCTAACATTAATGTTTTCCCAGATGATGATGATGCTCTTAAAGGCAATGGATTGACATAATTTACTCCAAGCGATGATGGGAAACCACTTAGATTTCAGTGCACAGGGGCATCTTTGTGAATCGTCACCGGTGGATCTTAATTCTGATGTGCAGGATTTGGCTTCTGTTCCATTATTTTCTAATAATGCAGGCAAACTATTTATGGTATAGGACAATGATACTTCACAACATTCATTCAAGGAGAAGAACAAGGGGTTGAGGATCAACAACTCTTAGGATCATAAGCCAGTTGGTTTTGGAATGTACATGGTGAATATGCAACAATCGGTCGAAAAGTTCAAGTTGATGTATAAGGAGAAGGGAATCAAAAGATCTTGCTCAATGAATTACATGGACGGGATATGATGATAAATTTTTTGCAAAAGACCAAGTTGGAAGAGATACGGACAAGAGATGTAAAAATTTATCGTCTTGAACGTGAGCTACACTTTATAGACTAATTCACCATCTTTTTCTTTTTGGAGCCCATTAGAATTTGGAGGCCCTAGGCCATTGCCTAGTTGGCTTGGCCCTAGAGCCGACCTTGGAAATTAGAGCTAAAAGTTGATATCTTGAAATTTGAATAGTATTGATTTGAACATTGGAGGGAAAGCAAAAACTTTTGTCTTATGATTGAAGATGATAGGTTAAGTGGCTTCTTCATACACGTCAAGTTTGGATTGCTAATCGAGTTAGACTAAGGGCTTAATAAGCTGTGTGCTTTTGTATTTGGCTTGACCCATTATCTTCTTTTGGACAAATATTTTTTCTTAATCTTCCAATTTAAATATTCAATGGATTCTTTCTCATATCATGACATGTGTTGCTGCTTTTAGAAGATGTACAAATTTCAAAATTTGTCTGTTGTGGAGAAGAATAAAGTTGGATTGACCGAAAATGTCTGACAGAAGATTTGACATCCCCTCACATGCATGTGAGATCAGCACGAATAAAAAATTCCAATAAAGTGACCCCTACCCCTATTGTGAGTGTTCGTCCAATAAAGTCAATGTAGCAGAGTTTTGCGGAGAAAGAATGTGTTCTTTCCAACATAGATTGTTCATACTTGGCCTGATCGTTCAAATCCCATCTTTTCAAATGTTGGGTACCTTCAACCCAACTTTTGGTACATTATAGTAAGCTGCCATATTCTTGTTATTTATTCCATTCATCTCCCTTTCATTATAGAACAATAGAACCCTTACATAAAAATATTTTGCTTTCATGAAGATAATACGAGACACATTTCTAACTCATCATTTTATAGTTTAAAGTGCTGCTATCTCAAGGAGGGATCATTCCATCTTGGACGACAAGTGTCGATCAATCCTAAGCACCAATGTTGTGCAAATTCGTTTTAAGGACAAATAATTGAACTCTTGTACCTTTTTCTTACTTCCATTTTTTGTTTCAAGCAAATATATTGCATGCATTTAATCTATTCTAATTTTTTCCCATTCTTCTAAAAATTCAAAATATAATTTACATCCATTTTACCAACATTAATCTCAACTTTTAATAACATAATAATTAAATTTCAGAGAAC